GGACAGGCAGCAGTTGGATAGGCGTGGGAGTCCCGGATGTGGATAGGAGTCAGAACAGTCAGGGGACAGGTAGGGAGTGAGGTCCTAGGGGGACAGTTAGGGTGGGAGGGGGTCTCAGGAGGGGGCAGTCGGGGGCAAGGATAAGGGAGGCTTAGATAGGGGGTGGGGTCCCAGGGGGTGGTTAGGGGCAGGGGCCCTGGGAGAGGGCGATCAGGGGACAAGGAGCAGGGGGGGTTGGTTGGGTTGGGGGTTCTGTGGGGGGCAGTCAGGGGGCGGGAAGTGGGAGGGAGTGGCTGGGTGGGGGCTACCCCCCCCCCACGGCGTGTCCCTTTTTTTGAAAGTTCAAATATGGTAACCGTAGGGAAGGGGAGGGAATAGATTGGAATAAGGAGACTGGGGAAGGGTGGGGGTTGGTACTGGAGACTGGCAGGGTTAGGCTATGAGGGGGAAAACTAGGAGTTGGGGTGGAGGGAGTCTACAGTTGGCTGGGTAAAAAGAATCTGACTGGGAGCTGGGTGAGAGGAGACTGGAACTAGGAGCCAGTGGATTGGAGGAGACTGAGACCCAACTAGGAGCCAGGGGGAATACTGGCACTGTCTGGGCCAGGAGACTGGGAACACTGAATAGTTGTTCATTACGTGAGCACCATTCATCTTGTGCACTGAAAGAGGCAGAGGTCGTGTGGAAAAAGTAGTATATGATCATGTAATTAGACTGTTTCATACTGCATGCATACGAGGGGGCTGGATTAAGGTTGCATGGGTAGCCTTAATTCTGGAAATTCCTTGAATTTGCAGCCATAATGTTCTTTTAATGTAATTTTTGCTGTGTAATATTTCCCAGTGAATTTGGTGTATAAATCTATTTGATAAGGATTTTTAAATTAAGCGTTCAAAATAACTTTTTTTGCGTGGTCACAATGACTATAAAATAATCTTTCCTGAAAATAAGCTTCTTATTGTGTAGTTTCACTGCCACCTTGTGGCAATCACAAATATATACAGGCTTTTTTCTTTTTTACTTTGATTTTTTTTTTTAAAGGAGGCCCAATATCTGCACCTGTTTGCATACCTACTTTTTTCTTCACAGTTGTGCTCACCGATCAGGTGACTGCACTTGTTAGATTCATAACTAGCCATTTACATGTACAAACAGTTATGCATGCTTTTTGGTGCTCAGACGTGGGGAAAAAAAATAAAAAATCCAAATGCTACTGGATTGTTTCCCTTACAATTTCTTAGCTGTCTGATTATTTACAATTTCATTATCCACCTCAGTCACTTAAATCTTGTCTACACTATGAAATTTTAGATACTTGCACCAGTTTTAGTAACAATGTAAGTATTGTTATAGACCAGCCTCTTGAGTTTTTTGACAAGGGCTGAAATGTCTGAGCCGAGTCTATATCAGCGCTTGAACCATTTGCTAATGAAAATGGGTACAGAATTTTTATAGAAGTGCAGTGTGTCCATATTGCTAGCAGTGGAGAGAGTAGTCCTATCATATGGCCAAACAAATTAAAATAAGTTGAAAACATATAACTTTTTTGCATCTATCGCATGCAGCAACATATTTTTGACTGAAGTGAAATCATTTCTGTGAACTTTCCAAGAGTGAAGGATAAGAGTCAAAGAGAAAAAGACCTGCAAGTGAACAGCTAAAGTTAGTATAATATTTTTCAGCTACAGAAAAATTGAAGATGCCAAATACTGGTTAGCACTTATATGTACACCAAAACCTCATATTTTAAATGTAACAGTTGAGGTTTGTAGGGTGAGTGGTTATCTCTGGCATAATTTAATACAGCTGCTCCCAGTTTTCTTATATTTAAGGACAGGTGCCTTAGGTGATCACCTGATATTTGAAAAGCTATTTTATTAGGTAGGATTTTCAAATCATGTGTGAAAATCACTCTCAAGCATCCTTGTTTAAATAAACCCTATGTCAATATTATTTCCCAAGAGGCATAATCCTAATGCAATTTATCTATACAATGTACTCAGTGCTACAGAGAGCTGGGCTGAAATGTTGCTGAATAGTCTCTTCATAATAGTGCCTTTTTACATACCTTTTTACTCTAGCGATTTTGACTATTGCTTGTAGTTTATTTAGTTCCAACAAATTATATCATCTAAATAAGTCACCAAGTCCATATCAAGTTGATGTGCTGTACATGTGAAAAATAGAGGAATTAATTTAAAGGCACATTTTTCAAATAAAGCCCTGGTTCAACATAAGCCTGATCCAAAGCTTTTTGAAGTCTATGGAAAGACTCCCATTGACTTCAGTGAGCTTTGGATCAGGCCCAAATGCTTACACATATGTTAACTTTCAGCCTATCCATGTTCAACAAAGCACAAATGATAAACTTGCACTGATTTTAAAGTTTAAAATTAAGCGCACATAGTTAAGTGTTTTGGGCCCCAATCTAGCAAACAATTGAAACATGTACATATACACTTAAGCCTGTGAATAGTTCTGTTGAAGTTGAAATTATTCACATGCTTTAAAGTTAAACATACACTTAAGAGCTTTGCTGAATCAATGTCAGAAATACTATATAGTATTTTAAAATACAGAACTTCCTATACGTTAGACTATTGAAACTGAATATTAATTTAAATTACATTTCCCTTTTGCACTTCACTCAGCTGCAACAATAAAAACAAATTAGTCATGCATATAGTCCAATCTTTTCTACTAGACACTTCACGTTCTATTTTTTTATGCACTTGACTCACACACTATTTTAATGACTGGGTTGCAAATGCTACCGGGGAATTTTTGAAGATGGGGGAAGAATGAATCGGTTGGGGTTCTTGGCTTTTTTTTAAATAATGAAAACATTACTTTGGATGGATTTTGCAAAATCTTTTTTTTTTTTAAACTTGGAATTTGAGATCTGAACTGTCTGATTAATATACTGTGGTTTCACATTTTCGTAAAAACAAATTGAATCGCTTTCAAATTACTATCCTATAGACTCTTCCTAAGATTCTCAGTCACATTGCCCCAACATTCAGCATGAGCAGCTGCAGTTTTGTAGTGGAAAAGTCCAAGGAATCGACAGCACGTGTAGTTGTCTGGAGAGAGATAGGAGTACAAAGGAGCTACACAATGGAGAGCACGTTATGCGGCTGCGATCAGGGCAAATATAAGGTAAAGAAACTAGATGAAGTGAAAGCCTATGTGTGGATTGAGTTTACCATTTACATTGATATCACTTTCCAAAGCCCAGCTTCTCTGTTTTTAAAAAAGTGAACATCCTGTTATAGGGCTTTTTACATTATATTGCGCAAAACAGTCTATTTCAATATAATGTAGATTCCTTCATTATTCGTTTGGATCTGTCATTCTAAAAATGTAATGTGCATGTTCTGTTGATTATTAATAGTCTTGTTAATATGGACAATCAGTTACCAGTACATTGAACTATTTTAATAGAGACTTCTTGGATACATGACCATTAGCCAGCTTTTGCAATGGGGGGAGCTCTCCTCTTGGTACAGTCTGGACTTATCCAACAGACATTAGGTAATGTTGCCCCCAGAATTCTCCCCCATGGCAGCAGAAGGAGGCAGATAAAGCCAAATATTTTCATGCTATTTTAGCAGCTTGCTGTTCAGCAGTGAATAAAATTCGCCTCCTTTCCTGCCTCCCTCCCCCAGCCTGTTTCCAGTGCAGTGCAAGCCTATTGCCCTATGCCTTTTTTTGCGCAGCAGTTACCCAACAACCAACAGTTGAATATTGCTAAAAAGTGCAACCGGTAGAAAAGAGTGGATGACCTGAAGCCTCCTTCATCTTCTTTCCCTTCCCACAGTGCCTCAAACATTGCTGCAGGCTGAAGCAGAGAGGCAAGCTGAAGCAGGCTTAGAAAGTAAATGAATGCCAAAATAGCCCACACAGTAGCTTCTCCTTTTTGCAAGCAGACTTCAGCCATGTTGAACAGGTGGACCAGAAGGCTGCAAACCAGGAAGACAGTAGACAGTGAGGTATAATTATCCTATTCCAGCACGCCAAACCAGGCTCTCTTGGCCTATTGACAAAGCACACACCTCAGCAGGCTTCTCAGTAGGCCCATATAGAGTACATTAATTCCTACTTCGTACTAGGTACACAAGTGTCCCTATGATAAGTTGGTTCCAAAATATTTCCTGACCACCTTCTGTGGTCCTGAGATGGGGATGCTTTTAGGGTTCCTATCGATAATAGTGCATCCAGGAGTCCCACAAACCAAAAATCTTCAGAATACTTTTTTAGATAAATAAGGTAAAGTATGGGATGCCAAACTGAAATTTTAAGAAATTTAACTTCCAAAGGCCTCAGATCAGTCCTCAGGTAAAAAAGAGTAGAAATCAAATGGAAAATCTATCCAGTTGAGTCATACTGAGAAATCAGTTATCCAGAAAGGAAAACCCCTTCATGCTTATTACAAACCAACCAAGAAAATCAAATCCCTGCACAATAATCTTTTCTTTGGAGTCAGTGCAATGAGAGAGATTTCCATCTTCCTATGAAGGCAAAGAGGACATCTGGGATGCCTGGCCTCTAGAAATGCCGACACTCTCATTCTGAGAAGGAAATAATGAGATTCATCTGGCAGCTTAAGATCAATTGATAGAACAAGAAAGAGGCAAAAGTCTTCCAAGAAAAAGTACAGAAAGAGTGTGTTCCTCATCCAACTTGTCTTCTACTGAGAAATGAGTGATGTCAGGATTTCAGATGAATGAAGTAATGGTAGAAACATAAAAAAATCTCCAAATGTATCCCATTCAGTGCTGAAAAAGGAAATTATCTTCCTAAAAAGAGGAAAGATCCTGACAGCTCAGACCAAAAGGTAGACACATTCCCTCAAATATCTGAACAGTATGATCTTCCCCTTCTCATAAATTTAGACGCATCACCAAATTCAAATGTGAGTATCAAAGCTTAAAGAGACGCATTCAAAAATTCTATCCTGTGTTGAGGGAAAAGATGGCGTATCCTTGCTAGAGATGATGCAGAAGTAGCCTCCCTTCTAAAGAAGATGAGTATCCCATCAAAATATGAATTTTTACTCTGAAACCCCACTGATAGGAAGGTGGAATCCTCAATCAGGAAGGAAGTCAAGTCCATTTTATTTGAAGGTTTCTTATCTGAAGTTGAAATAATTCTTGAGAGAAGTGTGTCTGGAGATAACCTTGTTTTAGCGGATTCAGTGAATTCTCTACAGTGTGTAGCTAGATCCATGGTCACAGCTATTGCTAGAGTTATCTGGGCATGGGAAATGAATGCCCAGGCAAAACAACTAATGACCATGTCTGAATGCTCTGGATGAAAGCTATTCAAAGAGCCACTGTATAAGATGATTATTTAAGCAATAGCAAGAGGAAAACTACCTACCGTCAGTAACTTCAAGACATTCCAAAAAGGGTAATGTAATCTGAACTACAGACACTACTCCTTTTCATACTGGCAAATACAATTGACAGATCATAAACACTTTCTCAGGAATATGGCTTCACTATTATTGGTAGAAAATTCTTAAGGTCTGGGAGTCATGATACAAACTCAGAAAAGGGAAGGTTTTTAAAGAAGCAGCAAAGATTCTTTGAACAATAGAAGTACTTCTATATGAATGGCACCCAAGTTAAGCTCTTAAAGATGCTCATATCTTACATCAGCCTATTCTGACTAAGGTTCTGAGAACAGTGAGGGTGGGAGGGAGAGCACATGACTAGAAATACTACCTCACTGGTCCAGGAGCCCCTTGTTTTCTGGTATTTGACATGGCAATGGAACCCCCGGTGAACGTACCATTATAGGAAGACTCTTCTCTGCCAAAGGCAATCATTTTCCTGGCCCCTGGTATCTTGAAACCAGTTGCCTGAAATCTGAGTGCCAACAACAAAGTAAAAAGGGTTATTCATCCAAAGCAGTCTCCCCCATAGTTATAGCAAAGAAAAATTCATGCAGCACATTAAATGTCACATCTGAAAGAAAAAATAATATACATTTGTAAAGAACTGAATATAGTATGGGACTTCATCTAGCCCAAATTCTACACATCCAAAATTACCTCCTGACAGCTGAGCCTAGGTTTGAAAAGAAACTCTATAATGATTATAAGAATTATATGTAATAGCAATTGCAAAAATTCAAAGGATCAGATTGCAGAACAGACATTTATTTTCCCTGCATCCTTAATTAAACTAAACCGTACCTTGCTCCATCAACATCCATGTGAAACAATCTTTGCTGACTGAAGCAGACTTTTGAGCCCATCACTTTCTAGAAATCAAGAGAGTATTCACTGTAGCAGTAACTTTGGACTGAAAAATTTCAGTTTGGCAACTGTGCAATACTGCTCTATGAAAGAGTTAAGTATGATAGTTTCTATTCATTCTTATTCATTAATTATTAAAATGAATTATTCATTCTTGGTAAGAAATAATTTTGCAAATTAGTTTTTAAACAAATTGGTGTATTTTACTGAATGTAATACACCCGGAATATACTCATTTTTTTTCATTCTGACAGAACTTGCTGAAGAAAATTCTTTTAGATTAAAATTTAAATACTGTAAATTCAGTTTCTGTGAAAAATGACTTAATATTCAACTGTTCTTCCTTTCCATTAATGAATTACGGAAGACTGATGAACTGTGATTTAAGAATCTATGATCTCTCTTCAGTGCTACGTGTGTAACCCCCATTTGCATCGATGGGAATTAAGCTCCGGCACAGAGAGCAGAATATACCTCTGAGATACTGAAGTCTTCTAGAAATGGCCGTTCTATCCAAGATGAAAATTAACCTTTGAGTTTTGTAAATTCTTGCTTTCTAAGCATTTATGTAAAAATTCTTGTCTGCATTTCACAGCTAATTTGGAGCAAACTATTGTAAAATATAACAAAATACTGGAATGTGGTTATAAGCTAATAGAGTGTATCTGTATTTTATTTCATGCATAGGGGTTACAGATAGGGACACGAGAACTGGAAGAGATGGGAGCCAAATTCTGTGTTGCCTTACTGCGTTTGAAAAGACTGACCTCTCCACTGGAATTCAATCTGCCTTCTAGCCTCCTTGACATTGAAAATGAGTTGATTGAATCAAGCTGTAAAGTAACAAGGTAAAACAAATGAATTGCATTTGTCTTTCCAAAGAAATAAATTATCCATACAATGTCTAAAACATTAAAAAATCAGGCAAAAGCTTACACAAATGAAGGTTTTAAAAATGTTTAGAATGTGTCCTATTGTCACAAGTGTCATGTAAGTTATTAAATGTTGAAAGGTTTTATTATTTCATATTGTAAAAAAAAAAAGTTTAACTACATTTGAAGCAAACTGGAATATCAGATAGCTTGAAAGAAGAAAAAAACAAATTGGTAATTATGGGCATATTTGTTCGTGTAAACGTGTACAGCTCCATTGACTTCTGTGCCAGTTTACCCCAGTGGATGATTTGGTTCCATAATTCTAATTCACCTAGGGACTGTATGCTTCAGTCATTGTTTACTATCAATAAAAGGTCTTTGTGGAAGTGTTAATGGATAAAACCCATGGATATTTCTACAGTTCAGTGGAGGCACTATAATTGATATTTTATTGAAATGAATTAGTATGGGGGAAGTTAACTTCAAAATTCTGCTGTTTTGTGTTTTGACACTAGACAATTCCATCTAAGGTTGGGTTCCAGAATGGTATTACAATGGCTTAAATTGAGCTGGTTTCTCTTTGCAAGAGAAAAAGACACACGCTTTCAGTTTTAAACAAAAATATTGCAGAGTCCAGCAAAAATGTGGCAAAAACCTATAGAAACTTGATCTGCGCCTCTCCCTCCCCAATGATTTCTCCCCCGTCCCTGGTATTGGGACAGTCACTTGAAAAATCCCGTTGGATATATTTCAGTAAGAGGCTTTTAGTTTTCTGTAAGCAAACTGTCATAGTAACTGCTTCTGTGCCTGACAATCTCTGTAGGGGGAAGGTGCAGTTCTTCCATCCCTTAATGAGGGCACACAGTGTGAGATGCTATTCTGACTTTGCTAACAGTCTTAGCAAATGCCCATTGAGTATGCTCGTTATAAATAAAGACTAGCTTTTAAATTCTTTCTTCCTCCCGTCCCCAGTTGTAGCATGGATTACGAGACACAAACTAGTTTTGGAGGTTGTCTAATGAATTTGGTAAGAAAAGTCTGGAGTTTTGATTAGTTTTATTTCTTTTTATTTGAAAATGTCTGTCTTCCCCTCCTCTTATCTTCCCATAATTCAGAAACCACTAAATGGAGTTTCCTCAAACTTTCTATTCTTAGCATCCGCTCAAAGGAAAATATTTTGGAAAGCTTTATCCCAAACAATACTCTTTCATGAAAAGAGATTATAACAGAAATATATTAACATTAATTACAGCTTTTGTGAAAGCTGTAACTGCTACTTACCTAGTGGTTTTTATTCAAGAGTCTCAAAGTGCTTTACAGTTTGTTAAATCCTGCAATATCCCGGTGAGCTAGGGAAATATTTTATAATTACAACCATTTTACAGATGGGTAAACTGAAACAAAGGGGTTAAGTGATATCTTACCCACAGTTGCACAGGAAATCCGTGGAAGAGGTTTTCCTATGGAAGTATGTGTGGTGTTTAGTTCATGTATTATAAAACTTCTATTGTTTTACTCTATTTAAAAATGTAGTTTTGTTTGAATATAATCAGTATGTACACAATCCTAAAGTAACAATAATCTTATAACCAGTTTAAATCACTGAAGTATAATTTGACGTGTAAATGATATCACTTTGACCATTTACCCATAAATGCTTTTTCTTCACACATTTATTAATGGTTAGTCTGGTACTCTATAGCTTTGAGGTGCATTTTCCTTCATGAAATATTCTCTGCAGATCCCTCTTGTAGGAGTTTGTATGCTATGCCTCACAATCAATGGAATTATTTAAAGCAACAAACTCTTAGGATATATGTGTATGGACCATGGGTTAAAGAATACTTTTCCCCATTAATGGTCTTTCTCCATCTGCTAAGCAAAAGCAGTCACAAAATATTGATTTTCATCTCTTGTTTTGATTGGTGCCTCTTTAAAAAAATAAAATAAATAGTAGAGTGTATATAATGGCTATTAATAGTTTTGTAGTAATTTTCAATGTTTTTAGTTCATCTAAGGTTTCAATTCTATTCAAACTATCAAAATGGTGCATCTCAAAGTGCTTGGGCTTTAAAAAAAAAAATGCTTTTTTGCAATAGTTGCAGGGTTATCTTTGACTAGACATGTTAGACACCTGAGGTGAAGGCAATGATTTCAAGAGGGCTAGTCTTTCAATTTTTTACCAGTTTACTATTACCAAACCGCTAACTGAAGATTTCCGTTGTTTGCTAAATTTACAGTGGAATCTGAAGCTAGTTTTATGAAGGAACAAAGGAGGCAAACTTAAAAGCGACTGGTATTCTCTGATTATATTGCCTCTCCGATTCAAACAGACCCTCCCTTCTCTTATTTGGAGAATTTATGTACTTTGCTGAGGTAGAGAGGAACTGAAGACAGGTAGTGGAAAGACCGGCTTTTCTTAACTGTGATTTGAAGTGGTTAGACCAATGGTCAGTTTGTGCATGCCACCTACCTGTTCATGGCTTTAAACAATTCCATGGCTCATAAGATACACGATATTCTACAGTTTGGGTCTGCAGAAGCAATATAAAACCTTCCTCTTAACTAGCTCAAAGTGATTATAGTTTGAGGTGGATGAGACCAAGAATGTCAGGTCATTGACGACAAGGAGATATTAGGAAAAGAAAAGAAAAGGAGGATTATTGGGGGGGAAATATTTGGAAGGAGAGGAGAGGTGGTAGGTCCCTAGGGAATGGGAGATTGTTCTAGGGGGCAGCTTGATAGAAGGCATAAAGTAGAGAGAGTAAACAATAAGGAGTTTCAGGTGACAGGAGCAGAAGATGGTGTTAGCAGTGCCATTGTGAATAGACTGGAGAAGGGAGAGATGTAAAAGAGCAAGTCAGGAATAATGCTGTGAGAGAGTACCAAGTTGTGGACGAGGATTTTAGCAGTGGGAACAGTGAAGAGGGAAGGATGGACTTGGTATGCTTAAGTAAAAAGACTTAGAAGATAAATGGAGAAATCAAAGGCTATTACATAGAGGTTCCAAGCATGAGAGGCAGGAGGGATAGCAAAGCTATCTAGAGTGGTAGAGAAGGGAGTATTCAGTTTCAGGGAGAGTGAATTTGATGTAGTACTGGGATCCAAAAAAAATGTCTGAGAAACATTTGGAGATGGTGGACTAGACGGGGGAAAGAAATAGATTTGGTTTGGGACTCAACTGCAGTGTGATCTCTCTTACGCAACTACTTAGGGCTGACAAAAACTGGTGACTTGCTGGGAGTGGACATCAAATTGAGATGAAGCAGAACTGTGCTCTAGTGTCGCCAACAGTACTGAATAGTCTATTAAAACAGGAGGTTGCCTAATATAATTTCTTGCACAGGATTCATTGTAGTTTGTATCTGAATCAATGGGAGTGTATGTGCTGATCAAGAGTGAGTGTAGAGGGAACACAAGAAAACAAAGGCAATGTGCTCCAGTGGATAATTCTGCCTTATCTATTTAAATATTAAATTTAGAGATTTTCTTTATACAGTATTGTTTGTATAGTGGCCACCATGATGTGATTTTGATTTTAGTTGGGGTCACTAGGCATGACCATAATATGAACAGTAATAGCAGTGTCCAAAAAGACAGAAACAGGGAAGAGAATGAGGATCAAATAAAGTAGTCATCAGCAAGGTGAGAGGCCACAGAAGTTCGGAGTCTTCCTGGCTAGTGCACAATGCCTTTTCTGTGCCATCAAGATCTCTTGCAGGCCGGTGGGGAGGGAGGGAATTCACCCTTGTGATGGAAACAGCCTGCCCTCCCCAACCTCCCTTTGGGGATCAAGCCAATGGAGGACTGCATATTATTGTCTACAAAATACAGTAATTGTTTGTTTAAACAATTTAAACTTAATAAGATTTTAAATTTGCAGAAACAATATAAATCATGTCTTCCATCATGTTTGCTTAATTGTGTAACACAGAGAAAGGGTTAGGATGACCTGAAGAGTAGAGTTAATTGCAGCTACAAAACACATTAGGACAGTAGGTCACTGGAAAGGCCATTTAGTCTTCGTCCATGTAAACCCACAGAGTGGCAAACGATATTTACAATCTGTCAGTTTCTAATTATTGTGCAGTTATATCATTAAAACTACCATAAATATAACCTGTTAGAAGTTTGAGGTTTACTTTCCTTTGAAAAGAGTACATTTAAATCAGGAGGTAATTAAAGAAAGATAAACCTCTTCAATAAAATGAAACAGTAATGTTTTTATGTTTGGGATGCCTTTATTTATTCTACTTAATTTTAAGTGTTCACTCTATATATAACTAACATAATTTCTACAGAAAACATCTTGTAAGATTTTCAGGAGATTAAAAGTGCAATTGAGTGTGTTAGCTGTAACCTTTAAAACATCTGAAATGATTCTATGCATATGTTTTCACTGCATGTTAACCATGGGGTAAAAAATTGCAGGATTAGTTAACCCATTATAGTCTAATTTATGAGTATGTGACCACATGTACTGTGCTGTCACTTCCTCCACCTTATTCCTGAGGGCATTCTGCACCAAAAAATTAAAAATTCTGCATACAATATTTTAAAATTCTGCACATTTTATTTGTCAAATAAATGTGGAGGCTCCAGCATGGCACTGGGGAGCACAGGCTACTGGCTGCACAGAGGTGGGAGATCACTGTGTAGCTTCCCCCGGGACACGGACTCAGCGGTAAGGCTGCATCCAACCCTGACACAGTGCAAGGACCCAGCCTGCCCCAGAAACACCCCAGAGCCCTGCCCTTCTGTCCCAGGTGTGGGGGCAGGCTCAGCGAGGCAGGATCCAGGTATGGAGGGGCTTAATGGGGGGCAGATCCAGGTATGGGTTGAAAAGGTTCTGTGTGGGGCAGTCTGGGTGCGGGAGGCTCAGTGGGGGATCCGCGTGCAGAGTGGATCTGGATGCACTGGGGCTTGTTGCAGTGTTCTGGGTGCAACAGTAATGGGACTCTGCAGGGGGGGTC